AGTTGTGTTGGGTTACGTTAGGTTTGAATGGGTGATCCAACTGATTATTATAAACTTTTAGCATATCGTTATGTAATGGTTCCGTGGAGACGAATATACTGTCACACCGGAATCGATAAATTTTTTGATAAGAACTTATGCCTTAGGTTAGGTTGGATCATGATGAGTTCCAGTAAAATGACTATAGCCGGATACACGGATGGCTATATGCATATTCTCCCGGCCCGGACATGGCGTATATTATCTCAATTCGCATATTATTCGAATAGTGGGTCAAATGTTTTTTTACAAACAGTCCGTTGTAGAGGGGGTATGAAGATTCGAACGCACCTCCAGAGTATTAAGTAATGTGATAAGTTCGGTTATCACGGATGTTGTTGCCGAGGGTTAGAAAGTACAAATTACATACCAAAAATTCGAAATAAAGTAACGCCATCTAGGGGTCGGTGAGTAAAGCGGGAGCCGGTGCCCGGAATTTCTTGTTTGCCTTAGTTTGTAGGGTTAATAATGACATTAGAAGATTCATTACCCTATCGGAATGGGTTCTAATTTTAGGAGGGGTCCATCGGACTTTTGGTCCAGCCGTGGATCCTGCCATTTCGACATAACCAGGAGGATGAGGTTTATTGGTGGGGGTGGTGCTGCGTGGTCGCGGGGCGCGAAGCTTCCTTACCCAAGGAAGTCGACGCGCCCATACACCGTGCCCATGTAGAAGGCACTAGAAAAATCATCTTCTCGGTGATGAAATTTTGCTGCCCACACTGAGGAAGAGCAATCAAGACCCACTGTATAAGACACTCACAAGCAGAACCCCAAATTTCAGTATGATGGTTGGAACGTCCTATACGGCACTATATCCATCCCCTGTTTGAGATGCCGGAGAATAGTGGGTGAAATGATTGGTTAAAAATAGTGCGTTGTCAAGGGGCCATGATGATTCGAACGGCCCTTCAGAGTACTAAGTGATGTGACAAGTACCGTTTTCACGGGTACTTTTCGCCAAGGGATGCAAGAATTCAAATTACTTTCTAAAAATACGGAATACCGTAGCGCCATCTAACGAATGGTGACTAAAGCGGAGAGCCGCTGCATCCGTCAACATTATGATAAAAAATTCGGAAAGTTGGCATTGTCAATTTAGTGGGATAAACGACACGGATTGCCATCGGTAATATTTTCAATCGAAGACTCGAAAATTTCAGATCGCCAAATTAGAAGCCTAAGAGCCAAGGACTGATCATCGTCAATCTTTTGAATCGAAAATCCCCATACGATGTATTGTCCCACCGGAATCCATAATTTTTTTTTAGAAAAGAATTTATTTTTTGAGGAAAAGAAATTGTGTTCTTCAGAAAGTAATAAGTTTTCTCAGGAAACTAATTTTTTTAATAGTTGAATATTTAGGCAATTGAAAAAGAAAACAAAGGATTTGACTTAGACCCTGACTTGGCCCACATTGCCTCCCTTTGGCCAAAAAAAGGTAAAGAAAGAAAATATTTTCTTAAGGAAGAAAAAATCTTCTCTGTAGAATTTAAATTCTGCATGTTAGGTTAGGTTGAATTACGTGACGAAGGGTTGGATTGGGTTGGGTTACGTTCCGTCTTGATGTGTAATCCGACTTATAAGTTATATCCTTATAAAATTATGTTATGAAATATCGTCATGGCGACGAAAAATGTATAATGAAAGATGTAAAAAATCGTTAGTTTCAGTTGATTTCAGGTTTCCATTGAAAATAAAAAACAAATTAATAAGTTATAGAGTTAGAATATTGAGGCAATTGAAAAATAAAAAAAAAATGATTAGATATAGATCCTGACTTGGCCCACATTACTTCACTTCTGCCAAAAATAGGTAAAGAAAGAAAATATTTTCTTGGGAAACAAATTATTTTTCTGTAGAATATAAATTATCCATGTTAGGTTAGGTTGGGTTACGTGACGAAAGTTGGGTTGGATTGAGTTACGTTCCGTTTGAAAGTGTAATCGGTCTTATAAGTTATATCCTTACAAAATAATGGTATGTAATAGCTCCGTGGAGACGAAAAATTTAAAATGAAGGATGTAAAGGAACGTTACTTTCACTTCGTTTTAGTATGCCATTGAAAAGTAAAACCAATTAATAAGTTGTGGAATTAGAATATTTAGGCAATTGAAAAATAAAACAAAGGCATAGATTTAGTTAGTGGGTTTCAAATTAGCATTGAAAAATATAAGTAAATCTATAATATAATGAAATGAAACATACAGGGTGATCCAAAAGTCCCTTCCACCCCCTCTAACTTTTTACCTAATTGAGGTAAAGATTTGAAACTTGGGGGATATTCCTAGGTCAAAGGGAGCTACTTTTTGACCCCCCTAAAATTTTCAGGGGGCCCCCCTTGGGGGGGGCAACGGCCCCCAACTTTTAATTTTCAAATGGGAAGACCCCCTTTGTGATAGCTCGTTCGAAAGAGCATAAAAAAAGAAAACTTTTCGCGCAAACCCGAAGTCAATATCGCAAACCGTTTCAAAATGGCGGCCGGTTAAAGTTCAAAATGGCCGAAAATTCACACCGGTTATTTGTCGATGGATTTGCGCGAAAACCGGTATGTAGGGGTATTTTGATACGAGAAAAACGAATTTGACGTTAGATTTTCAAAAAAAACCGAAATTTCCAAAATGGCCGCCGGTTAAAGTTTAAAATGGCCGAAAATTGTCACCCCGGTTTTTTGCCGATGGATTTGCCTAAAACTTGAATTTGAGAGTATTTTGGCATAAGATAAACAAATTTGAACTTAGATTTCTAAAAAATCAATTTTTTGTCATTTAGAACTTTAACCGGCGGCCATTTTGGAAATTTCGGTTTTTTTGAAAATCTAACGTCAAATTCGTTTTTCTCGTTTCAAAATACCCCTACATACCGATTTTCGCGCAAATCCATCGACAAATAACCGGTGTGAATTTTCGGCCATTTTGAACTTTAACCGGCCGCCATTTTGAAACGGTTTGAGATATTGACTTCGGAATTGCGCGAAAAGTTTTCTTTTTTTATGCTCTTTCGAACGAGCTATCACAAAGGGGGTCTTCCTATTTGAAAATTAAAAGTTGGGGGCCGTTGCCCCCCCAAGGGGGGCCCCCTGAAAATTTTAGGGGGGCCAAAAAGTAGCTCCCTTTGACCTAGGAATATCCCCCAAGTTTCAAATCTTTACCTCAATTAGGTAAAAAGTTAGAGGGGGTGGAAGGGACTTTTGGATCACCCTGTATAAGAAATTAAAACATTTAAAAAAGAGTTGATTCACTTGGTGTATCCTTTCGCGCTTATTTTTCGCGCAGGTTTTTGAGCATCCACATTGAAGATAAAACGGTGTTTCCAAAAGGTGGGAGGGTTATTTTGGAATTCATGGCTCCACGTGCCATGAAAATGACAATTCAGGTTAAGCATCTCCTCCATATCAATGCGGAAATCCTCATAACCTCTCCGCTAACGTTGCCGCGGAAGTAGATTGTCCGTTAGAGGATTTTTCTTTCCCAGAGAAAGTTTCGTTTTCAAAAGAGAAGAATTGTTCTATGAAGGGAAAAGTTAAGTTCCTTAGTTGAGTGGTGCCTGTAAATAAGAGAAGTCCCTTGAATGAACAATACAGACCCACGTACCCTACAATTTGAATGAGAAAATATGCAAAAGGTATCTTTCGACTCCACCGGGAAAATATATTTTCTCTGAGAGAATATTTCTTTTCTGCAGAAACAAATTTGTTGTTTGGAGAAAAGAAAAGTTTTATATTGGGTTCGGTTACGTGGTTAAGCCTGACGGTGAAGCGGGTGAGTAAAACCCGACAGTGAAAATAGTACGGAGCACCATCGACCAGAATGGGTATATCCTGAAGGCATTCGCGCAACCCACCTTGAACAATTGGCTTTCCGTAGAATTAATGCTCTTTTCTACAGAAAGAAATTTCCTGTCAGGGAAGGGGGAATCCGCTGCGTAGTTAGGTTATGTCAATATACCAGACGGTGATTCTAACTGACGTACCGTTACATTATTATTCTCTGGGGATATATTATACGTTCCTACTAAAAGTATTTGTAAAATTTTTTAAAATTTTTTAGATCCTTAAAATTAGGGGTCTAATCATTCGCAACAGAAATCGATTTCAATTTGACATAGAATTTCAAGGTGTAAGCGGCAGGAACCAAAAGGGGGGGGGCTCCACGTGGCATGAAAATGACAATTCAGGTTAAGCATCTCCTCCATATCAATGCGGAAATCCTCATAACCTCTCCGCTAACGTTGCCGCGGAAGTAGATTGTCCGTTAGAGGATTTTTCTTTCCCAGAGAAAGTTTCGTTTTCAAAAGAGAAGAATTGTTCTATGAAGGGAAAGGTTAAGTTCCTTAGTTGAGTGGTGCCTGTAAATAAGAGAAGTCCCTTGAATGAACAATACAGACCCACGTACCCTACAATTTGAATGAGAAAATATGCAAAAGGTATCTTTCGACTCCACCGGGAAAATATATTTTCTCTGAGAGAATATTTCTTTTCTGCAGAAAGAAATTTGTTGTTTGGAGAAAAGAAAAGTTTTATATTGGGTTCGGTTACGTGGTTAAGCCTGACGGTGAAGCGGGTGAGTAAAACCCGACAGTGAAAATATAAATAATGTGCCGACATAAAAAATGTGCGCTGTGCGTGTATACGCTTATGGCTCACGACCGGCATGGCCCCAGCAAGAGAATGCACTACTGAATTTTTTTTTTTTTTTTTTTTTTTTTTTTTGGGGGGGATTTTTTATTTTTTTCATTTTCATGGATCTTTTTCTTTATTATCTTTATTTATTAGTACAATACAATTACAATAGTGTTGTTTTCTTGGCTTAATATTAGTTACAAACCTTAGAAATTGTAGGCATTTTGAAAAATAAATTTTAAAAAAAGGGGGAACAATTTTTTAGGAGGGGGGGAGGTAGGGGTAAAAAGGTAAAGTAGAAATACAACAATTTTTTTTCAAAAACTACCAATTCATTAATTTTAAATTGTAAGTATATAAGAACATTGTAAGTGCAAGTTTTGAAATATAATTCCTGTTATTTTAAAAAGAAAAATTGCACATGTTGCCAAATCTCAGTTTATTTTCATGCACCCAAATTGCGGTGCACGGTATTGAAGCAAGGGAGGCAATAAGCTGGCTCTCCAGCGCAGTCACCACAATATGTATGCACTTTTTTAGCGTTTCTCGCTTTCTTATTCTGCCTGGCAGCTGTTTCATAGCATCGTTTACAATATTTCCTTGACTTATCTCCCACTCCACGTCGCTTGAGCTCATGTCTTACTCTTCTAGGGCGGTTGATAACTTCGTCAGCGGGTGCCGCAGCAGCTTCCTCCTCCTGATCCTTGCTGTCCAAAAGAGCTTTCGCAATGTTTTCTCGGAATTGCTGAATTTTCACGTTTCTCCCTACGATTTCGTGGAATAACACGTACGCATTTACTACCGAAGTAGACAACAACAGCTCAATCCCCAACTTTCGATACCACTTCACCGATTTCCGGAGAGGGGATGAATATGCGGCCATTTGATCAGATAAATCGACTGCACCTTTTCCGCTATTGTACTCGATTACCGCTGCTGGTTTTTTGACGTCTTCACCTTTCTTATTTTGGATTGTAACCATTTCATCAGTGTGTTTTGAACTCAACATGAGAACGTTTCTCGTATCCTTCCAATTCAAAACGGTGATGCCTTCTTTACTTTCTTTTGCTGCGACGTCCCCACGCTTCATGTTTGTTTTTTTTGTGACGTCCTTTGGAACTTCGCTGCGATTTTTGCCCGATGTACCGACCACATGAGTTTTTCTGGCAATCAATTTCAGTGCGAGGTCCATGCTCGTGTACCAGTCATCGATACAAAGGGTTCTCCCTGAATCAAGAATAGGCTCTGCCAAGGACATAACTACGGAGGCAGGTGTGGTGCGAACGTCGCCGTTCTTGCCCCCATAAATTTGCAGTTGGCTGGTTTAACCCAAGCCACTGCATAGCTTGAACACCTTGATCCCGTACTTATGCCTTTTATTCTTGGGATACTGGCGGAATGGACCACTAGACAAGGTACGAATTTCAGCATTCTGATACATCTCTCCTTACCAAACTTTCACGTTAAACACGCTGCACACAGCGAAAATTACCGAAATCAATTCCTTATGAAGATATTTAATGATTCTTGGTGCGTGAATTGAAACCACCCGCTCATGAAAACTCAATGCTCTACGTGATTCACATCGCGCGCTAAACGTTATCATGACATTCTCTGCGATATGAAAATCTGGCAACCTCCATCTTGACACTTTGGCTCAGCTAAAGCAAATTGCTAGTAGTTTGAACAACACATGGTGGGAAATGAACATCGCTCGATTGAGGAGCTTGCTGAAACCGTTGTAGTGCGCAATTTGACTCACGTAGAGCTTTGAGTTTCTTGTGAGCGGGCAGTTCAAATTCCTCGTAACCAATGTGAGATAAAAACGTTAATATCTTCATTAGGAGTTGGTTTCAGTAATTTTCGTCGTGCGAATCGTGTTCTACGTGAAATTCTGGTCAAGTAACATGTATCAGATTGCTCAAATTCGTACCGAGTCTAGTGGTCCATAGCAGCCGACCGCGAAATGGAACTAGGGTCTCATCAATACAGGAAAGTTCTCTGGGTGTATAGAGATATATGAAATTGTTTGCAAGCTTATCAACTAGAGGCTGAATTTTATGGAGGCGGCTTCCCGTCGGATTGTCGCGGTTATCAGCAAAATGCACCATCGAGAGGAGTAGCTCAAACCGATTCCTGGACATGGCAGAGGGAGCGATGTTATTCTTGTAAAGATCATCTCTAGCCCAGTAGCATGGTATTGATGGCATCTTCACCAGTCCCATGTACATTAGCAAGCCGAAAAATCTTTTCATCTCGGCCGGAGTCGTTTTTTTCATAGTGGTCTTGGCAGTAAAAAACTTCTGAACAGACGTACATTAGGCAATAATTGGATCATAGCATACTTACCCTTGCACCAAACAATAATTTGGCTTTGGTCGTTGGTTTTTGTCATCATGTTCGTGGTGCAAAAATCTCTCCTACATACATACATACATATAAGTCGCTTTACAGCACTCCCTCGCGCTCTACGACCCCTATAACCTCCACTGCTCTCTTTCAAACCACAAATCTTGGGGGATTGAGCACCTTAACATTTCCGCTTCAATCCCTTCCCTCCAACCTTTCATTGGGCGCCCTCTGCGTCTTCTCCCAGGAGGAACCTAGTCAAGGACCTTCTTCGGCAACCTGTCTCCTGCCATTCTCTGGACATGACCATACCAAATGAGTTGTTTGTCATAATGTCATGCACGATGGTCTGCTTTGCATCCATGATAACCCGTACCGTCTCATTCCTGACGCGAAAATCTCTCCTGCCATTCCAAATTCCTTTCCACCAAACTCCAATTTTTCTTCTCCAGCTGCTGATTGCGCTGCTGTAATCGTTCATTTGCCTTTTCCAGTTTTCTTACTTTTTCTTTGAACATCCTTTTGGGTACAAGCTCTCGTCCGAATCAAGTGAATCCTCATCTGCAGATGTTCCGGATTCTTCTTAACCTTCCTCACTCTTGCTGCTGCTACTGCTTTCCTCCTTGTCAGTCCCCTTTGCTCTTCATTGTTCCAATTGAGATTTTGTCATAGCCGCTGCGCGAATGCTTTTATTTTCTATTAATTGCATTTTAAAGGCATCCATGGGTCAAACGTTTTCTTCAGTATAATGTGAGAACATCACGGTATCAAATGTAATTTGAAAAAGATTAATTTGAGAGCTCAAGCGAAATAAACACGCACGCGGACAGGTTTCTGGCGTAGGGGTCAAAGAGTCACCTGGATACTTACCAGAAATGCATATTTCGGCCGCTTAAAGGTTTGAAACTTTCCACTGGGGAAAAAAACACATTGGATCCAGAGTCCAGACTCTTGAAAACATCGACAAAAAAAAATACTCTTGATTCAATCAGATTTAAGCTTAAATCAAGAACCAAGCCTCTTAATTTGAGCGGATTTCCTTTTGATGTAAGCTTGAATCTGATCGAATCAAGAGTAGTTTTTCTTGTCAATGTTTTCAAGAGTCTGGGCTCTAGATAGGGTGTGTGTGTGTTTTTTTCCCCAGTGTCCCATGTTTAAAAATATCATTAGAATAAACGGACTGCATTTTGCAATTTGGACCTATAAATTCTGGCTCATCTAAAAAAACACTTATGTGCATAGAGAAACTAATGGCACATACGTTGTTTTTAAACCGGGCCGGAATTATAGGTCCAAATTGCCAAATGCAGTCCAAATGACATTCAATCTTTAGCTCCTTTTTTTCCACCACGCGGATACAGTATTTTTAGATCGCAACAAAGCATTGTTAAATCATCGCCAAATCGTATCAGTCGTTGACATTAATTGGAGCGAACCTCATAATTTATTACCAGTGTTTGACATCTTAAGCGCTCACGAAAGTCGCCACGATATTTTGTGCTCCTGTGAGAGAAGCACCTCAAGAACAAAAATACCTACCTAAATGCCACTGAATGACATTTTTTAACGTCTACAAGTAACACGCTGGATCCAGCGGAAGACGCCGCGCCGGGCCAGAATGCGATGTCTGTTGCGCAAGTGGGACTTCAGTCAGCTTGGCAATCGCACGAATAAATTGGAGGAGCGGGATATGTAAATGATAAGGGAAACCGGGATTGCGCGTTGTTGAAGGGAGCACGGAGGGGATCGAACGGGATCAATGTTTACATTTCGCGGATCTTTACCGTGGCACATCCACGACACCGATGCCAGAGTTTTGAATTCGTCGTTCTTTTCAGGCAAAGAATCTTTGTCAGTCGTTTGCTCTTGTATTAATTGGCGGATCTAGCAAAGTGGCAACATTGTTTTTCTCCATTTAAACCTTTGGAAATATATCGATTCTTGGAGGGGCCAGATGCTCCAATAAGAATCGATTATCTAACATAGTGTTAAATGGTATGGGAATCCAGTGTTGCCAAATTGCTAGATCCGTCTCTGTTTGTATCGTCCGTATTAAGAATGGGTCGGTTGTTTTTTAATGGAAGATGCAACCTTAAATTAGTTAGATTTATAGAAATCGGTTCAAACAACCATTTTTCGTTGCAAATAGATGAAATAAGCACAGCTTATGGGAAACACCGTTGATGACGGTCATTCATCTGTTTCTTTAATACTGAGGTTCCTGACAATTTGGTACAACTTGATCTCATACAAAATGCGCACGGGGTGTAGTTTGAGTAGTGCAAATATTACGCAAATTTTCGCGAGTGGATTCGGTCGACTGTTTCGACCAGATCGGCAGGGTTGCAAGCCAAAGGGGAAAGACGCTCTGATGCAGTTAAGAACTGAACTCAGCTGCTTGATGAATTTTGGCCAACTTTAATATCCATCCACTTTTCAACTTACCTCCGGAGGTGGGTCGAGAATTTTGGATGTCGTCACTGCTGCCAGCATGAAAACCCAATGTAAGCGCACCATCGCCCGGAGGGAATTTCGTTTTGTTGCAACGGAGGTTGGCAGTAATTTGAAAACTTCGACCAAATCCACTCGCTTTGTCCCTTTGGCTTTCTTATTTTGAGGGAGAGGCTTGACAAGCACTAAATCTCTAACTCGATATGGGTTGTCCTGTCGTTTTCGACTATACTTCACAGAGCTCTTTTTTCTTGCCGCTAATCTTTATTTCTTGGCTTCCTTCCAAAGCACCACATCCTGGGTCTTAGAAGATAGCAAATCGTTGATGTTCCACATCAAAACTAATGGGTCAGGAGGTTTAAAGGCACAAATCATTACGAAGGGTGTATGTTAAGGATCCATGTTTTGCAGAGTTGACAGCAATCTGTAGCCAGGACAGTGGTTGGTCCCCGCACGCTTAGTCGTTGTGGTGAAAAGCTATTAGAGCAGACTTAAGATTCTTCTTGATTCGTTCCGTTAAAAGAAGTTCCGGTTGAAAAGCCATGGCAAGTACTGCATTAATATACCTGAACTGCTAAGGTTTCATAATAAATTACTAATTTAAATTTAGAATGAACGGGAGAACACTGTTTAAATACTGATGTAAATATTAATTGTTGAGAGAAAAAACTTAAATTACGTCAAAAGACCATATTGAAAACAGAAATAATTACACTGCTTATGTGGGTTTGTTTCTGACATGTTGGACAAAAGCGTGGAAATCATTGACCATCATGGTTGAAGTTTCAACCATTTTGCTGCTCCCCTTTTTATAAACAGTAATCAATTCTTTAAAGTTTTTGTTACTTTCTTCTTGCCCTTTTTCTACTCTGTTTATCAATAGATCTAATTTTCTTTTTCGGAGAGGGTTTTGAGGAGTTTTTTACATTCGTATGAATGTTTTCTGGCACATCTGAATTCGGCGTTTCAAAACAATCATTTGATGAGTCGCGGGTGTGTTTCGCGGTTTGACCCTATCAATTTCTTCAGTGCTTCACTGCTTCACAGAACGGATCATCTTGAGTGTCCCCACTGCTTCCAGTTGTGTCTCTTTCTATTCCTGGCAAGCCTTGAAAAGGAAAACTTCCAAGTTGAAGAGAAGTTCTAAAAACCAAATTGAGGGGCCTAACCAAGAAACCTACGCGCGACCCATCTTACTTTCTAAACTTACTTTCCAAACAAGTAATAGAAGTAACTTCAAAATACGGAGTAAAGATCAAGATAAAAATCAGTACCCATTGGTAATAATTTTCAACAACGAAAAATACAAAATACATGCAAATAACTGCTATAGGCAATCCTTTTTTTTTAAAGATTTTATTCAGAATTTCACCTATTTTACAATATTAAGAAATTTGCAGCTTAATATAGAGATTACTTAATAATTATGCTAATTGGTGGGTTGAGTACAGCCCTATTGTGAGTTTCGACACTGGGACAGGGTCCTTTGCAGATTATATTTATTCAATCCATAATCGCATACAGACAAAGTTACTAAAATCATTCAGTAATGCAAATTCATTCTGTGTTAGGAGTGGGAAGTTTTCTAGTATATTGGTTGAGCCTATCTGTGTCTAACTTCATCAGGGTGTCATACATATATTTTGACGCTAAATACTCCAGTGTCAAGTGATGCGTTTGTTGAGGAACTTTACAGAATTTGCTCAGAATGCCAGCATACATATAAACACACCACAGCTAGCAGAGTCAATCTGGCATTTGTGTTTTGGGACACAAATTTTCCATTTTGATACTTTGGACTTGGTATTCTTTGCGAGAGCTTTTGCCCAATGCGCTATAAATTGATGGTAACAATTTTTTAGTCTATTAGATGCTGGGTTATAAAATTAAATGGCCATATCTTTAGGATGAACAGCAAGTAAAACTTAATAATCACTTGTTGCTCCTTAATTACACCCCCAAATAAATAGACTGCAAAGTTACGAAAAATTTAAACAAAAGTAGAAGAAAATCTGTAGATATCTAATGCTGCCTCATGAGGACCCTGAGTAAAGTATACTAATAAGTAGAAAGCTTAACATAGAGACTACGCAAATAATTATGGTAAATTATTAAACAGTTGCACTTGAATGTACCAACAAAAATTAAGTGGAGATCACATGGGAGGGTGAAAGGTTCTCTCAGTGAGGTAATACAAATAATTTTAAAAACTGTTCGCTATTATTATTCATTTCACTAAGCACTCGATTCTTACGGCCTGAGGCATTGCCTGCCTTCATGGAATAAGCTAGTTCTAAAATTGCAGAGGATAAATTCTCGCCCAGCGTGATTTTCTCGTCCAAAACGATCTCGATTTATATATATATGAAGTCGCTTTACAACGCACTCTGGCGTTCTACGACACCCAAACGCCACATATGCCTGTCTTCCCAGAGGTTCTCGGGCAACTGACACCGCAACATCTCTTCGTCAACGCCCTGCCGCCAACCCTTTATGGGACGTCCCCGTCGCCTCTTCCCAGGTGGTACCCAATCCAAAACTTGTTTGGGCAACCTCTCCTCCGACATTCTTTGCACATGTCCATACCAGCATAACTGCCCGGACAAGACGTCGATTTTTGAACTATAAAAATTCACATGCACAGGCGTGTAGCCCATCGGTAGAGACTGATATACAATCAAATACTAAAATCAGTTGAAGTTGAATCAGTTAAAATTCGTAGAGAACTGGAATTTCGAGCCGCGGGTGGCTTCGTGGTAGATTGGTCATCTTCGAAAACTTGGTCGCTTTGAGGGAAGCGGAACGAGATGATTTCGGCGAAGTTGCTTCTGAGTACGACTTCCTACCTTCCCGTTGATCTGCTGTTGGCACTGTAGGTGCAGGCTCTTCTGCTGCTGCGGTGAGGGGCTATGAGGGTAAGTCAGGACGGAAGAACAGCCATCGCTATCATGATGGAACTACAAAGGATGTTTCGTTGGAGATGAGGCCATTACATTTGTAAATTAACAGTTTCAGTGTTTGGTTAGCATGAGGTAATAGAGGCTCAATTTTATTGCTAATGATGAAAGTCTGCAACGTAATACTTTGCTTTTGACAAGGGGCAATTGAATTTCCTATCTTTTTATCCTTCAGAATAGGCTCCTCTTGAATTGGAGGGGTCAAACAATTCAAGATCAGAAAGAAAACTGTCATTGAGATTATCAGCGGCACTTTCAGCATGAGAACCGTTACTTTGTGAATATGCTTACATAGCGCATGTACATCATCACAAAGATTGTGACATGGAGATATGTTACACTTTACTAAACAAGCACAATATAACACATTGTCAACACAGTTTTCAGCCAATGTTTGTGCCGTGTACATAACACCTTCAGATGATTGGGATTTTACTGTAAAACATCCTTCAAAGTCTTCTTCTTCAAAGACATCCTCATTGAGAATTCTCAAGCCTTTTATATGGTGGCTATTCTTCACATCTTTTTCGTCCTCCGGCATCTCGCTGGTGAGTCGTTTGTCTGGTTGTAAAGCTTGGTGTAAATCATTATTGATTCGTAATAAAACACATATTAAGTCACCTACTCTTTTGTTGAATTTTGTATTGAGGTACCACGTTCTCAATTTATTATGAAAAGACTGACAGTGCATGTCACTTTGTCTGTCATTTGTCTGTTGCGGCATGCGGAAAATTGCGGTAGCACATGACCCACAACATTGGTCTTTTGGTATATTATGTTTTGAAGTACTCATAAAAGCCAGGACAGGAATCTTTGTACTTGGTCAAGAAAGTTTCAAGCATCGTATTAAAATTATACACATCTTTTTCTTCCATAATTAAATCTAAACATATGGACTTTTCCTTAACCAATTGATTAGCTTTTATTTTTTTTTTATTTGCTTTTTCAGTTTTAGCGTCATCGCAAGGCTGTTTAGCTGGCACTTCAGTGTTATGGTCACTAGACTGCTGGACAATTTCTGCAGTTGAATGGATGTCAGCTTGTTCAGCGGATTGTTTTTCTTGTTTTTTTTTTGTGACTCGTCATTTTCAGGCTTGTCAGTGAGTACATCTGATTGCGATTTGCTGTTAAGGTTGGTGGCCCAGGCTCGGTTGATGTGCCTTTTACAGAATGAAGGTGCGTTTTCAGTTGAGGCCACAAAAACAAATGCATCTTCCTACAATCATCATAGGAGTATTGTAATGGTAGAAGGGTCGGCTACCATGCCGACCCTCGAAAATACTCCAATGCTCAGGGAGAATAATAATGACTGTGAATTGATGAATAGTGGACTGTAGATTTCCCTCAGCCGTCCGACACCAGTATTGGGAGGAAAAGGAAAAAACTGAGAAGCTGGCCTACCTTTGACGCATGGGGAGGACCGCAGATCACATGCTGAGAAAGAACCTCACTCCGGGCTCAAATATTGAACTTACTCTATGACTAAGCTCCGGCGGTCGGCGGACTGGAGTGCTTAATTTCGGCACTCCGCACAGAAACAGTTCTAAGCGACCCCTACTGGCAGGTTCTGGTAATGCAAGGAAGGGCGCCTCTTTTATGCGACTATCGGGCGGCGGGTGACGTGCACAACTTGGAAGTCTTCTAAGACTTCGCGGCGGGGCATGTCCTCCGGCAGGACTAGAGGCTGGGGCGATGGCTGCCTTTATAGCTGGGAGGGTTCTGGTAATGCAGGAAGGGCGCCTCTTATGCGACTATCGGGCTGCGGGTGACGTGCACAATTTGGAAGTCTTCTAAGACTTCGCGGCGGGGCATGTCTTCTGGCAGGACTGGAGGCTGGGGCGATGGCTGCCTATATAGCTGGGTGTGGGAGGGTTCTGGTAATGCAGGAAGGGCGCCTCTTATGCGACTATCGGGCAGCGGGTGACGTGCACAACTTGGAAGTCTTCTGAGACTTCGCGGCGGGGCATGTCCTCTGGCAGGACTAGAGGCTGGGGCGATGGCTGCCTATATAGCTGGGTGTGGGAGGGTTCTGGTAATGCAGGAAGGGCGCCTCTTATGCGACTATCGGGCGGCGGGTGACGTGCACAACTTGGAAGTCTTCTAAGACTTCGCGGCGGGGCATGTCCTCTGGCAGGGCTAGAGGCCGGAGCGATGCCTGCCTGTATAGCTGGGGGGGCAGTAGTATTGGCTGTTCTCTCGCTTCCTCGAATTGGGCTGGGTCGGCATTCTGCCCTGCCCCTGGTGAGCTCTGAAGGGCGGCTGCAGACTGTGCTCGGCAGGCGAAACCGGGTGCTCGTTGCTGCATTCGTTGTATCAATTTTTTTCATTTAACATCCTACAGAAAAAATGAAGAAACTTCATTTTCGTTTAGACACTCGCTTAAGTCCCAGAAGTCCAGCTTCTTAAGTCATAATATATGACCATTGGTCCATTTCCATTCATTTTAGGGGTGTACTATGATTTTAGGTGTCCAAGTTCCGATGTAATTTACCGCAGTGGCCATACAAAGTAATAAATGAAAACTTCAAATGCATTTTGCTCACAACGCGATTTTTTCAAATCAGTATATGCCCTTTTTCCGAAAAGCTCCTTAATTAATATACCTCCTGAAAAAAAGTACAGTAATTTTCGAAAATTGCTTACGATCTTTTAAATCACGAGATATTTTGCAAATAGCTAGCCAGTAGCTCCGTAATTTTTCCGCCTTCGGAATTCTGAAATAACGAAGATTTTCATTATTATGTCTCCTTGAATCATTATTGCAGCCTTGGACGGCGCACTTCACCATTTTAATAATAGTTTATAAAATAAAAATTCACATGTCACATGTCTCTTCTTAACTCTCAAGTACTGGGTACAGGGCGGAAACGGAAATGCAAGGAACAAAGGAAAACAATACGTTGTTCAAAACTGCCGCGCCGGCGAAATCGTTGGCACGCGAGGTGGGGGAAGTTACAGGTACCTAAACCTAAAATATTACCGGTGTAGAAATGCTACTATAAATGATTTGTTATTACTAATATTAAATCATATAAAGCATTGATCGTGAATGCAAAACCTCAATTTAACATGTTGGAAAGAAAATAAAGAATAAAGTACTTACTTTCTGATGAAACAAACCAGCCAAATCGTTCACGTAAGTTGAGTGTACCAGGAAATTCGAATTTCGCGGCAACTCTCGTACCGACCTACGTCATCACGAAATCCAAGATGCCCGAAATGCAAACACCTCCTTTTTTTTCTCTATGGTATCACGGCGGCTCTGCTGCGGGCTTAAAAGGCCGATCGTCTTAGAACGTCTTTAGATTAAAGTAACCCATAGAATAGAGTATTGCGAGCCGTCGTATGCTTACGGTCAAATTTTAATTTCTTACTCATCTTAGCTTTATTGTTCAAATAAGGATGGAATAGACCGAAAATATTCTGACCGTGCTTCTTTTCTAAGGTTGGTTTAAACCCAACTTTTTTGTGTGTATTTCTCTTGTATTGCATCGTTGAACCGGTTACTCTTTGCGTCGTATGTCTGTTAACACTAAGCACTACAAATGTATGTGCGCACACTGCACATGCCGCCTCTTAGCACTCCCCGGTGTTTTACGAAATATAGCCAACCCCCACACTGTTCTCTATCGAACCTCAAGTTATTCCTGAATTTAGCCACAAACTGTAGTTCCTAATTACAAAATATAGTTCAAATTGATTACATTTTTAAATTAAGAACTATAAATTCCGGCCCGGTTAAAAACAACGTGTGCCATTAAGTTTCCCTATGCTCATAAGTGTTTCTTGCAAGTGAGCCAGTATTTATAGGTCCAAATTGCAAAATGCAGTCCAAATATGTCGTCTCGTCACTCTACTCCGGTGCTAAGGAAAAACGCCGAATAATGGTCATTCGAGGGTTGCCAGATTCCTCCGAACATACAATTTATTTTTGCGGAAAGTTATGCTTATTTTTCCTCACAAATCTTAGATATTAAAGATTAAATTGATCTTCTGCCATCAGAGAACTAAAAAAACATGCCAATAAGTAGGGAGTGCAGTTAGTAGCTCTGAATATTCTAAAAAAAATTAGAAATTGAATTTTTCATTTTCAGCAAAATTATCATCATCAACTCCTCAAAATTTTAGTCGTGTTTATCTCCTTACTGGATCTCTTTCATAATAAAATCTATCAAAGTTGATGACATCATTTAGATGATTCATCATGTTACGAGTTCACCTCTAAAACCAGTCAAGCTCCCCATCCGCAAACAGATACATCAGCAGTGATACCGCAATTGTTCAACCTACATTTAAAGAACCTTTAAGTTACCGAGCTACTTTGTTAGGTCCAACTGAGTCCGTCATCGATAATTTCCACCTAACCTTTACTTCTGTACATAAAATCAATCGCCCGCTTGATTTGAAATCTGGAGGACATTTTTTTTGTGAAACGAAGCCAATTTCCAGCAATGACCTGTATACAATTTCATCGTAAAATTTTGGTTTTACAGGATCACGTATGACTTTGTTCCCTTCTGCTTAATACTGCCAAATTCTCTCCATAATTCAGACCTGCCCAGAGTGGTTTCTTCTTTTTTCAAATTTTCTTCCTGAAATTTTAAAGTAGACTGTTCAAAAAAAACTTACAGAATCCACTGTGTTTCTTTTCGACAAGTCACTGGCGAGTTTTCTTTTCGACAAGTCACTGGCGAGCGTTTTGAGTTTCTGATTTTTTGAACACCATCAGTTTCTGATTTTTCACGCTGATTCTGAAAAGAAGGAAAAAAATGCAGAGGTTAAATTTTTTTATCTTCGATCTTAAAGACGGCAGCACCTGCAGCTTACAAGGTTTAGACGGAAAGAGAGCTAACCCTCTTGACTCTGTCTTTTGACTGCTAGAACAGCGATTCAATCATAGTGATGGACCAGAAGACAGAGTCCCAATATATTTCACCATTGTATGGATTTCATTTCGCAAAAAGGAACCATGAGCATTGCAATGTTGCTAAGATTGTGCAACTTAATCCTTTGCAATAAAAGTACTGAAATCATGCAAAAATATGAAGTTTACATGCTAATTTTTGTTACAGTTTTTACGGTGTAAAACAACAATTGTTTATAGATAAGCAGATTTTTCTCTTGTCTTGTCTTGACTATTAGAAAAGCGATTTAGTCATAGTAATGGACCAGAAGCAAAGGTCCCAATTTATTGCACTGTTATTTGGATTACATTTTATAATAAAAAGGAATCAGGAGCACTGCAATGTTGCTAAGATTGTGCAACTCTATCCTTTTCAGAAAATACAAAATCACAATTTATTTCACAATAATTTTTTATAAAGGGTTTGGAGAACTGAAGCATTTGTGCAGTTTTTGAAAAAAGTCACATACTTTTGAATGATTTCAACTTAAACTAGCTTAAAATAAGTTCTGTTAAAATTCACCACCAAATTCCAATTTTTTACCGTCCAAAAAGTGAGTTCGAACTCTAATTCAACCATGAGGCTCGGTGAATTTTTAAAAAAACTTTGATACAATATTTCTTGAAAAAGCAAATACTGCACATAGCAGCCTTGTCTGCCTACCCCTTTTTATGTTTACTTTCTCCAAACAAACTAAACAAAACAACAAAAAAAACTACTTGACTTGACTCTCACACTCCTTAGGCATTACTGTAATATTCTCTGCCCTATGAAAACAAGGGAACATTTTGCAAGGAAATTTGACAGACCTTGCACATGCTTTCGTTTCTTGATTCTTAATGTCCCCTGATAATCTCCAGACTTCAAAGCTGCAGAGAGCTTGTCCCTTACTTTCTTCTCTTTTCAAATTTGCTTCTCATAAAGCAGCAAATTGGAGAGAAAATAAGGAAAGTAAAAATGAAAAATTTTTATAGAAAATTTATGGTACAAAAATAAAAAAAACTTACAGTTCCAGCGAGATGGTCGCCAATTACTTTTGCCACCTCTGCGACCGACAAATTTTCTTCTGTGACATAGAGAAAGAGAAAAATATTAGCAATGTTTTCAGCAGTTATTCTCTGCACTATGAAAAAAAGTCAACACTTTGCAGGGAAATTTGGCAGACCTTGCACATGCTTTCGTTTCTTTATGCTTAATATCCTCTAATGATCTACACACTTTAAAGCTGCAGAGAACTTGTCCCCTACTTTCTTCTCTTTTCAAATTTACTCTTTATAAAACAGCGAATTGGAGAGAAAATAAGGAAAGAAAAAATCACAAATTTTTATAGACAATTCAAGGTAGAAGAATGTTGAGTCAGTAAATCCAAAAAAAAAAAACTCTTCAACTCCATACATAGCCAAGGCTACTAAGTAAAGTTAGAAGTCAGCTTCAGAGAGCCGCCCACAAAAGGTGCACAATGTCATACCCAGAAAATAGACACTTTGCGCAAACCTCTTCAATTTTCAAAAAAAGTTGCAACTGCATGCGGATCCTTCACATACCACTTCACCCAAATTACTTGATTCGTGGTAGTTCTTACTGTGAAAGATTACCTACATAAAAAATTAGAAGTAAGTGAATGATTACGTTAAATTTTTCCAAGATAGATTGGAAATTTTCTTTGGAAAACTTGAATGATAAACTTTAGGCTCAAGGCAATTAAATTGAATAAAAAATGCAAACTTTTGAATTGTCAAGAAAATTTTCCAAGTTTTATCTGGATCCATTATGAAACAGTAAATGATAACCGAACAGAAGATAAGTTGTATAAACCGAACAAGAACAGAAGATAAGTTGTAATAAAAGTAAAAAACAAATCTGCGGATCACTCTTACCAAGAAGCAAGCTGGCACTATACCGGGTGTCCATAAAGTAACTGAAAAGTGGGTATAATTTTTGAACACAAAAAGATAGAAGGTCGCGGTTTGTGGCATTCTTCATCATTCAAAAGGGGAAATTTTTCGATGGGGGGCTTTTCCCGGTGGACCCCCCTGGGGGGCCCCAGGGGGGGCAACTTCAAAAATTCAAATGGCAACCCCCATTTTTTTAGACATGGTTAAAAAGAACTTAAAAGGACAAGAAAAATGGCGCAAATAAAATTAAAATCGGTTATTTCCTTCAAAAGTTACAGCCGGTCAAAGTTTTAAATTGACCACTTTTCAAAAAATCGCCGATGAGCTCCAAATTATCGGAAAAACAAAAACAAACCAGGAATGAAAAGTTTGAAAAGTGCTTTTTAGGAAGAGAAAAAACAACTGACGTTGTCACAAGTCTGGATGGCACTGTTTCAAAATAAAATTTCGGAAAATTCAACATGGCGGCAAATTTGAGGAAACGCAAAAAATGAAAATTCCAGAAACTGTTATCTTTCAAATACCCTCTAGTTTAAGGAAATCAAAGGTATCAACTTTTATTCCTTTATTTGGCCAAGTAAGATCAATAATTTGCTGACTTAAAAGTTGTCAAGCGGGGCGCCTTCAATCGTTGGAGTATGCGACATCACAGGATTAAGTGTGCTGTCGAAAAATGAAGCCGATGTGAAAATGCGCTCCTCCTTTGGGATGCTTTAGAAATTTTTAAGGTCCTCCTCCTCAAATTTAACGAGAAAAAAGAAGAAAAGTAAAATTTAGCAATTTTTACCCACAAACTTGGCGAGCCAAAAAAACATGATCTATCCTGGTGGGGTAGGGGCGGTGGACATTTTTGACATTTCTCTCTCTGAAAATTAAAAATCCAAGAATAATTTTAATTCTCTAACTCCTGGCACTCCAATTTGGCAAGGAGGATAACTGCTACGCTTCACCTTGTCACCGATCAGATAGTGCATCAGATGTTACCGAAAAGATTGGTGTCTCAAATCTTAAGGTTGAGATTGTCAATAAGATAATCTCAATTCAGATAATAATCAAGAGTAGAACGGCGTCTTCGAAATTGGAAGCGTAGCAGATATCCTCCTTGCCAAATTGGAGTGCCAGGAGTTAGAGAATTAAAATTATTCTTGGATTTTTAATTTTCAGAGAGAGAAATGTCAACAATGTCCACCGCCCCTACCCCACCAGGATAGATCATGTTTTTTTGGCTCGCCAAGTTTGTGGGTAAAAATTGCTAAATTTTACTTTTCTTCTTTTTTCTCGTTAAATTTGAGGAGGAGGACCTTAAAAATTTCTAAAGCATCCCAAAGGAGGAGCGCATTTTCACATCGGCTTCATTTTTCGACAGCACACTTAATCCTGTGATGTCGCATACTCCAACGATTGAAGGCGCCCCGCTTGACATCTTTTAAGTCAGCAAATTATTGCTCTTACTTGGCCAAATAAAGGAATAAAAGTTGATACCTTTGATTTCCTTAAACTAGAGGGTATTTGAAAGATAACAGTTTCTGGAATTTTCATTTTTTGCGTTTCCTCAAATTTGCCGCCATGTTGAATTTTCCGAAATTTTATTTTGAAACAGTGCCATCCAGACTTGTGACAACGTCAGTTGTTTTTTCTCTTCCTGAAAAGCACTTTTCAAACTTTTCATTCCTGGTTTGTTTTTGTTTTTCCGATAATTTGGAGCCCATCGGCGATTTTTTGAAAAGTGGTCAATTTAAAACTTTGACCGGCTGTAACTTTTGAAGGAAATAACCGATTTTAATTTTATTTGCGCCATTTTTCTTGTCCTTTTAAGTTCTTTTTAACCATGTCTAAAAAAATGGGGGTTGCCATTTGAATTTTTGAAGTTGCCCCCCCTGGGGCCCCCCAGGGGGGTCCACCGGGAAAAGCCCCCCATCGAAAAATTTCCCCTTTTGAATGATGAAGAATGCCACAAACCGCGACTTTCTATCTTTTTTTGTTCAAAAATTATACCCACTTTTCAGTTACTTTATGGACACCCGGTATAGAGCAACTTTGATTCCTTTATTTTTCATCACCTCCACCTGGAGGCGTTTCTCTCGCACGTCTTTCCTCAACGTCTTCTCCATTTTCTGTAAAAAATAATGAGAAAACTAATATGAGATGCTATTAATCACCCATGAAATAAAAGGGAGCTTAAGATTTGATGTTTTTCTAAAAAAAACTGCTTCAAATTTGGGGCCAGAACTGGCAGAACTGAGCATCTTTGCAGAGGACAACAGAATTTAACGTTCACGCATGTTCAAACTCATTCGTGTAACTTCTTATTCCAAAAAAACAAAAATATGATTTTTATACAAAATTTCGGCCCAATCCAAAAAATGTCACTAATTCAAATAAAAAAAAAAAAAAACCCAGGCACCCAAAAATATGATGGCGATGCCGTTTGGATTCATCATTTAAAAGGAAATGATATCAAAACGGCCCAATTTTTTCTTTCATGCCCATGCAATACACCATACACCCCAACGTTTTTCCAAAAAAAAAAAAAAAAAAAAAAAAAAAAAAAAAAATTAAATACCTAAAAGGTATGATGACCTGAACACGTTTATTTGATCCATCGCTTTAAAGGAGTGTGATATCAAATCGGCCCAACTTCTCGGAAATGTACCCATCTCTGATCAATAACTTTTTCGAGTCACTCCATCCCTGAGAAGACACTGATCATTACTTGACCCTTAGTATATGTCCTTGTTTAGATGCCAAAGAGGTCCTTATGAGAACTGTAATGAATTTTTTTTCTTTAAAGAGATAAAAAACAAAAAACCGTCATATAATTGGAAAAAAAATCCGAAGAAAAAAAAAGGAATGGGCCGGCCGGCCGTACATACAAGTGGTAGATAGTAGGGTGATTATCGTCTCTATCATTAAGATTAAATTGCGAATTAAATACTCCGAAAAATGAAAAGAAAAAAAAATTTCTAAGGTCTTGTCTACCATGCCAAAGAAGAGCTGGTGTTTTACCAGCAGGTAAACTCTCTGAGGGAGAACGATTCAATTCATACGCACTACATAGGATAGCTTCTCCCCTGAGATTCTTCAAGATTCCAGAGTCTATAAGTTTTGTTCTAACCTTATTCTGTAATGTTTGATTCATACGCTCGCTTTTTCCATTTTGAGATGGACTATAAGCACTTGTGTACTCGAGCAAGATACCTTTTTGTCGCATCATACCTTTGAAATAATTAGACGTAAACTCTCCGCCATTATCCAGTCGTGCTCTTTTAACAAATACATCTTTTTCCCTTTCTACCTCATTAATATAACAAATAAGATTTTCTTCTGCTTCATCTTTAGTCTTCAAAAGTTTTACTACAACAAAGTTCGAAAAGTCATCAACTATGACCTGAAAATATCTTTCACCATTAATCGTTGTTGGTGTGATAGGACCACTTATGCCTGAGTGAATTAATTCACCTATTAAACGAGATCGTTTTTCATGCGAAGGAAATGGTAGTCTTTTGGCTTTGCCCTCAATACAAGTTTCACACTTATTATTAGTAACAGGTAAGTCTGGCTGTCGTAAGCTCTCGTTATTCAGGTGGCCTAATCGCCTATGCCACAAATTAGCAATATTACAATTTTCCTGTCTTTCAAGAGTTCCTTTTAAATAATAGAATCCTTTTTCTTGTTCACATTCAATTTTCCAACCTGCTCCACAAATGCGTATATTACCTTGAGAAAATATTCAAAAGTTTCCCTGAAAAGCTGTGCTTTAAGTCACAAAATTTGGATGTATCCGATAGTTCATACGGCGTTCTTCCTTGACATGGCAGTTAACTTGACGTAGACTTCACACGCACGGATATGCAAACGGTTGATTTTCTGACCAAAAGGCACCTTAACCCTTCATGGCATAGTGTAAACGTATTCTCGAGGTTTTTAAAAATGTAATCTTTCCCCTGTGCCACGACTTTGCAAAATTTTATTAGTTCTTCTTTTTGTTGAAAAATTGATTCCCTCAGCTTTAAAATTTTGAAACACTGGTACTCTTTTTTTTATGCAATCTGCAAAATTTATTAGCGTCCCCTGGAATCTGAGGTACGAAAATGGTAATTCATGCCATAGAGGGTTATAACTTTATTCCTGGAAATTTCTGTTTTTGAAGGGCCATTGCACCCCCACATCAGTCCATAATCAGCCGCGCAACAGTGCTGCCATGCTACAGAAGAACGTTGTATAAACATTCGAGAGTCGCCAAATTTCGATAAAATATTTATTTTCGAAGGAAGTTATGAATGTTTTTCCTAGAAATTTGAAGGAACTTCAGGTGAGATTGCTAACAAAATTTTCAGAAAAATCGGAATTAAAATATTCGTAAGTTTACAAGGGAATTCATGTTATATAAAAGGAAACTTGGCAACGCCTAGCGGTTCATACGTCGTTTTTCCTAAGCACGGCAGCCGTGCTAAGGAAAAACGCCATATGAATCTTCAGGCGTTGCCAAATTTCCTTTTAATCAAACGCGAATCTCCTGGGAAACTTATGAAAATTTTCCTCCCAATTTTTCAGATAATTTTGTTCGCAATTTCACCAAAAGAATCTGAAAATTTAAAGGAAAAATATTCATAACTTTCCTCGAAAATAAACATTTTATCAAAGGAAATTTGGCAACTCTCAAATGTTCATCCGGCGTTCTTCCTCAGCACGGCAGTGTAGGAGCGTCTTCGCTAAGCGCAGCGTGCGCTTCTGTATCTCCCGCGTCCATGGGTATTCCTACCGGTCTCCTCCTCCACCCCCCCGTATCCCAGATCCGGGGGGAGGGGGGGCGCCGGGTTTTTTTTCGCGAGCGGCGTCCACTCAACTCGCGGGCGCGCCAGTCCGTTTCCACGCTCGTGCATGGAGCCATCGCCGGAGCCGCCCGCGCGAGTCCGAAACCGAATGCGATCGCGTCGACGTGCGAGCATGACCCACACTCCGGTTTTCGTTGTTCAGCCGTAAAGGGAGTGATTTCCATCGAATTTCAAGTGTGATCGGAATCGACCACGCGCGCCTGTATCAGTGCCTCCTTCCGCGAAGTTTTTACACCCTTTATGGTTGGTTTTCGCGTTGTTTACTTCACGTTACCGGTCCCGTGTTAGTTTGGTCGAAAGATCTTTCGCAATAATTACATTGGATTCCCGGTTTTTGTGTTATAGTTTGTAACGAGTGTACGTGTGTTCGACACTGGAGACGCACCTTTACATTGGATTTTTTTCTCTCTTGAATCCTGCTTTTGTCGATTGAAGTTCTGGTGAGTTTACTTCTTAATCCTCGAAGATTTTGAGATCGCCAATGCGCAGATGATTCGTTCGAAGTAACGATGCTGTCAATGTGGTTACCTCTGAAGACCCCTGAAGGACAGAGAGGATGGACCAGGAAGTGCGTTTTAAGAATCATCGGCAGCGGGCTGATTGTTGAAACTGATAGACAGAGCTATAGACACAGAAGACAAAAAGGATGTGGAGGGATCCTATTGGTGGAGGCAGATGATTGCAATGGACAGGGGAGATAAGTATTGACTAACTAACGGTAACTCAGGAGAGACCCTTTAGTTAGTCTATCGAGTACCCCCTTAGTCTATACGAACCACCAAATGACCAATAGGATCGCTCCATACCCATTCTGTCCATCGCTTTGTCCATCAAATTCAACAATCAGCCCACAGGCAAGGGGAGTAGGAATGCAAAGGGGGCTTGAGGATCCGCCTGGGGGGGGGCCTCAGCTAGCATGGGGGGCTTTATCTATTTCCCGGGAAATATACTTAAAGTTTCAATGCAATAAGGAATGAATAGGTCGGATGGGAACCAGGCCGTAATATCAAACCAAGAAAATGAGGTTTGTCGTAGGAGTTGAAGTTTCTCCATACCACTGAAGCTCAATATTATAGAGTTGAAGTTAATCTCATACTCAACATATTTTGCCTTGTCCTCGAAACTTTGCGACTGGTCAGGTTACACTTCTAGTTTCAGCTAACTCACTATTGTCCCCTGTTCGATTCAGTCTGGACAGTCTTAAAAGTACGCTTGAAGCTTCCTGAGAACGAGTGATCGGGCTCTAGTCTTGCGGAACTAAAAGACTCTGCCCACCCTTTGGCTCGCCTTTTCCTTTGTGAAAAGGTCACGGACGAGTTAAGGGTGTCGATAAGCATATGCACATTGCACATCTAAAACCGCTGGAATAAAAACGAATCACATTGGTGTGGGTTCATTATTTTTTATTTTCTGCTAAGCGTGGTCGAAAAAAGACCGGTGGAGTGCTAGTTCATGGTTGGGAAAACCGGTGAGAAGATTTACACATCATGCCTCTCAGTATCTTTTTTCAGTTTATTTAAGCTCCTCTTTGCATTTAACAGAAATAATGCGTGCTGCACGGAATATTTGAATGGTTGATTTATAGAAATTATCTTCTTTGGTTAGAGAGAACCAAAATTTTTGTCTCTCTCTTTCTCATGAATGAACAGATTAATACACGTTTTGTATGATGATCAATGTGAAATTTGGGCCATTACGTCCAATCAGCAAACAATCCCATCGTCTTAAAGAAAGTTGATTTCTGGTTCTCTACATGTAAATCACAGCCAAAGATAGTGGACATGTTGCACTCAAGAAATATACCCAACCAAGAGCTTCATTTAGAGTCGTTCCTTAGCCCCTAAGGCTCCCTTCAGGCATAAGCCATGGCATGGATTAAGGAAGTCTTCATGTTTGAGGAACGACTATGAAAGATAAAATCACGCAAAAAATACTTGAAGCACATCTAACATGTATTAAAGTTATACTACAAAGCACAATTTGTGTTGTATCATGTATTGTCAGAAATGACTCTAGCGGTAGAGTCTTTATTTTAACAATAAGTTGCCGGCTGTCCGGTACAAGCTCTGGCGAAAGTTTTCAGACTCAAAATAAAAATTGAGTCTTGCAAATTGTAATCTATTTTTCCGGCGAATAATGTTAATCGTTAACAAGCATTTATCTTCGCATAGTTTCTCCAAAAATGAAAAATAAAATATTTCAAAACGATTAATAATATGTGAAAAAAGATCGTTGATTGACAGCAGTTTACGAGATCGACAGTTCATTAAAGTTTGACTTCCTCGCAGGTCACTGCCGAAACCAGTGGCGAGGCGTGCATTGCGATATATCGATTGTTATGTCATTTAAACCTATGGTAAAGAATCGATTATTAAGGTGCTCACTGCGAACACCCGGTTTATCGATCCTTTTCCATAGGTTTAAATGCCATAACAATCGATATATCGCAAACCACACCACTCCACTGCTGCCGAAACCTGAATGCCGGTTATCGATGAGAAAGTATCCTTGGACGCGGAAAATTTAAAAAATAAAAAATCGTGATATTTACTTCGATGTAGTGTGCATTTAGCAACGCGTTGACGATATTTCTGACGTGCTTTCAATTTTACCAACACAATTCTATCGATTGGTCGTGCCTCTTATTGGATGCTACAGACCCATGATAATTTAATCTAGTTTGAGACATTTTCTAAGAAACTCTTAAGATTTACGATTTACTTTTAACAGTCACTATAAATCAGCGCTTACCTACAAATCGATTTATTTTTACTTGCGCAAGCAATTAAGATAAATCTCAGACTATAAAACTAATTATTTTTCCCCTCATACTTAAACGTCAACGAAGTTTTACAATTCTCAGACAAAACAGAGATCTCTTGATTTTTTGTCAGTTTACTGTCCTTTTTTTCTCAGGTACTTAGAAAAAGCGGTTTTTTAGTTTCCTGTAAATTGCACCGAAGCTATTCGAACTGTATTAAGAATAATAATGAAAATGCACCGGGAGGGGGGGGGGGGGTCCCCACCAAAGAACGGGTGGCGCAGAACTTGGAGATTGCCTATATCGTCGTCCTCCCGACGTAAGGGCGTATTTCTATTTCACGTGAGCCATGAAAAGCATTAAGTTATATGGAGAAGAGGGCTGACATGGATATTGAGATACGCCCTTACGTCGGAGGGACGACGATATGTATATTCCTTGGAAATTACCACTGGCTGGCCTGACCATCGGATTTCAAATTTTCGTGTGGGCGCATTGGGTATATTACAGTCGATATGCACCGTAACGCCGCTAAAGTCAATCCTTCAATGATGCACTCCTGAGGCCTCTTGTTCGCTAAAGGTGTGGACCATGTGGTATTTTTTAACACAGCGGCGGCTTATGAAATAATCGCAGGCTTCGAGTTTTTCGGGATTTACAAATTAAAGTCGGTAAGTCGTATTCTCGCGAAAAATGGGAAATTCTGCTGACCAGTGGCCCAATGATCTGCACTTAATCTTGAAACTCCTCTCAGAGCCATGCGTTCGTATTTATTTTCATAACAGTACTTTGAGTAGAACTGCCCACTGGTAGATGTGGTATAGTTAACTAATCCTAGTACCTAGTCAGATATCGTGAGTATTCAGCAATGACAGCCCAAACATCAAGTATACATTCCATTTCATACCTTGGGGCATTGTGATACAAGATGTTCTGTCAGTCGGCTTGCATTTTCCGCTCCTTCCCACTGGCCAAACTCAAATACTGCAGTCCTACTCTTCGCGTTCGGATTGATTTTCACAGTGAAATGTTTGCGCGATCTACTTAGTGGTTGACCCTTCCCAGGATAAGAGGGCATTTTGAATAAGGTGAAATGACTAGAATCAGTTTAGAACAATAAAAAAGAACACTGAATCATATTTTATTTAGTAATTCGTCGAACTTTGCACCTGAGACGTCACAGCGGCATGGAATCAAAATAAACAATAGAAATTTGAGATTAGGGCCCCCTCCCCTTGATGAGCCAGAAGAGAAAGAGTAAGAGAAGACGAGAAGAGAACTATAGAGAGACCGCGCTTCAATTGGTCTAATTGACGAATAGTATTCTATTTAAAAATAAAAACAAATTCTTTTAGAAAAAACAAGCATTTTTGACATTTTGTCGGTCAAAAGAAACTTCATTCGATGAAATTGCTTTTAGCAACTCTGCCCAAAGGTGATAGTTCCTTTTGACATATATAAATTTGTCCACTCAAACTACACGGTAAGAAAAAGTAACCGAAATTGACTGATAAAGAGGAGGAAGACGAGTGTATGTCAGTGCCGCAGAATACTTTCTTCATGCCCCGATGTTTCAGTGTAACATACGGTTTGGGTCGATTTAACACAAAATTGGGTTGAGCAACCAATTCCTTTGCGTTGATCCGACAGAACGAGGAGTAAAACGGATCACGGACATTTTTAACTGTGCACATTATGCAATAAGAAGCTACTAATTATTGTTTATTTCTGAAACAGCGTATGTTCCATTTGTTTCGCCATGCAGATAGGTAGTTTAGGGGTGAACCACCAAGTCTTTTTCGTTGATCAGACACAAAGAAAAGTAACACGGATCACGGACATATTTAACTGTGCACATTTTGCATTAAGGAGCTACTAATTCTTGTTTATATCAGAAACAGCGTATGTTCCATAGTTTCCTTAAGTCGATAGGTACTCTTGGGTGAACCAAAATTAGTGATTCCTTATTGTAAAATGACGTCTTTGTCTCTGCCCACACGCTCCTCGGCCAGGAACTAATTTAACCGCGGAGACGTATGTGTGCGGAGCGGGATACTGCTGTGCTAAGGAAGAACGCCGTATGAACATTCGAAAGTTGCCAAATTGCCCCAGGTTAAACATGTATTTTTAAGGACGATTTTGCTTATTTTTCCTTGAAATTTTCAGATATTTTATTCACAATTGCGAACAGTATCGTCAGGGTGTCTACAAGTCCGGAATTTCCGGATATAGTACTAATTTTTTAAGGGCGATCCGGAATTACTGAAAAAGTGCGGAAATTCCGCAAGAAGGTCCGGAATTTTACTCACTTTTTCGTCATTTTCGTTGCAATGTGAGCGAGAAATTCAAATTTTTGAAATTTTTCGAATCTCGTCGAATGGAGGCACTGCACCGGTAAAAAAAACCTCTGGGTTCAAGAGTGCAGTTTCTTGTCGCCGGATTTAAGAGTCTGGACTCTTCTTTCAATGCAAAGTCCGCTTGAAACAATAGTTCAAGACTCTTAAATCCGGCGACAAGAAATTGCACCCTTAAGTAAACGCAATGCGGCATTGGTCCAAGAGGTTTTTTTTACCAGTGTGAAAAAGTACTGAATTTTTCTGTTGAGGAGGTACTGAACATCTTCGGAACGCACTGAAACAGCACTGTAAAAGTACTGATTTTTGGCCAGCCGGTTTTAGT